TATGTAACTAACTTACACAATAATACATCTCCCACAGCCAAGTCGGATACTAGCACTGATCAGGGTACGAGAACCTTTGGGAACCAGCCAACTACACAGCATAGTAGTTGCAGCGATGCAAAGGCGATTCCCAAAAGCAGCGGACCCTGGCCGCGAGCAAGTTTGGTTGTGCTCACACATGGGCAGTTTTCACGATACCCAAGGTCTGATAGAGGAGGTTACATGAATAGTATATCGTGGGGGGCTGTTGTCGGTGAGTTTTAATTGATATTGAGTGGCCAGGTGCTCTCTAGATCTACCGATGCGGTGACTTGGAACGCTCAAGATAAGCAGGCACGGAGGCCAGAAGTAAACTATCGGGGGATTATTGTAGGGTTTGAGAAGACCTTGAATACCATCATATCGTACTTAGGCATCTTTGAAACTATACTCCTTGATCTCCTTAAAAGTCCAATTCACATAGTGGGAGTAAATAGCACACTCCGTGGCCTCATGTATGGCACCAAATGCGAGCAAGGGGGAGTCCGAGGACCCGAGGCTTTATTTATCAGATCCAGCGGAGCTCTAGCTATAATATAAGTACCTCATCCTAGTTTCCTCGTATGATACTTCGAGGTCGGGGTAGGGGAAGAGAAACTCATGGAGTGAATGATGGGAGCTGTCCCGGATAGACCTCTACGGGCACGTGGTGACCAACGCCACCAACTCGGGAGCTAGCGGCGGAGTTTTCTACAGTGAGGTGGATTTCACGGAGTTTGGCAAGTCAAATGTATCACACCTGGAGTGCAAACGAACGGCTTGAGTGCGGCGATAGAAGCACCAGTGTGCTTGGGCAGTAAAGCCGAGCAGCCTCGAACCCCGGGCAAGGTGATTAGGAAATAAATAGATATACCTAATATCTGATATGAGGACCCGGACCGCCCGTCCGGCCAGGAAAGCCAAATCCCCGACGGCCATGCCCAAATCCCCCGTCCACGCACGGACCCACCCGGAGATTTCAGACATCGGTAGTTAGCCAGAGACATTCTGGGTCATCGCTATAGGTGAGTGAGACATTATGATTTCCAAATCTTACCTTATTTAATAAGTGCATGTCGAGAGTACCGGTAATTCTTTTTGAAAGAAAAAAAAAAAGGCAAAATAGGAATCTGAGAACAGGGGAGGAAATACCGGTACGGAAAGTGATAGACAGATATAGACGCTATGGGGATATCAGCAAAAGGGTTGCAGATGTTTAGAAGACATGATAGTCTTAGATACCAGTAGTACTTACGGTGTCCCTCCGTTATCTCATGAAAATCTACTATCCCCGTGGGTTGAGTCAATATTATCATACCATACAGTGCAATAAGTTCGTTCGATAGATCATCCAAAACGCCGGTAGAGTGAAGGGGGAGGGGCGCAAACCCGGGGCTCTAGTAGCGAGTACCGGAAGTATACCGGCCGGTTTCAAGCAAGACCTTATTCCCTGAAGGCTTTCAGGCGTGGTGGAAACAGGACGATTGAGCAAGGTATAATGTACGGGCTACGTGAGCGGGATAGGCCAGGCCTGACCACTGCGAGACGAAATTTTGCCGTGGATGCTTCCACGATGGGGGTGATCCGCCGCGGTTTATCCTCTAGTAACTCTCTCTTGAGCCCGTCCTGCAAAGGCTTCTAATGTCCCAATTTAGGCAGGAGAGTAGAACACGAGTGATGTTCTGTGATTAAACAGACCGTAAAATGAGCAATTATCGGGAGGATAAAGAGAAGGGGGACGACAGTTACTGGGGCCGACGATAAAGAGGGAGTTTCGGACATATATCTATCAGAAACCCCCTTCCGGGCCTATAAACATCGAACAAACCGGCGGGAGCACTGGGGTGATGGGAGGGGGGAATGCAAGGACCGGCTTGTAAGTCAAGAAAACACTAGAGTACTGCTTGGCTGCTGTGACAAGCGCGCAAGCATTCGAGAAGAACAATTGCAGTTTATGGGCCTATGTGGGCCTATATGGGCCACTGAAGTAGTAAGAATTTTCGAAATAAGTAGCCTTTTTTATAGACTACCTGCCATATAAATTGCCTCCGCTCAAATAGAACACCCAAGCTCTTCCCTGCGAGTGATTCCATAGTAGGAGGCTCGCAGGCCCATCAATGATGTGAGTAGTAAAGTATCGATCCCTAGATTCTCGGGCCGCTTGGGTGTATAGTTTTGAGGGGAGCTTGTAGCGCGCATGGGGGGGGGGTTCGCGCAGTGCACTTGGTTTGCCCATGTTCCCTCCCTCCACTATTCCAGTATGGGATTTCCCCGTGCTGTTACCGGGTATTATGGGCGACCAACAATGAGTTGGGTCCAAGAATTATACAAATCTAGCAGAATCACTCGAAACTCGGCACTCGAAAAAACGCTCTTTCGACCACGCGGCTAAACACCTCTAGTGGGGGTTGTAAAGATGTTGGAAGACTCTGGATGGAATATAAGACGACAGCTTGCTGTAGCAAGAGACGCTACAACAAGGGAATTGATATTTGTGGGGCTAAGGATGGAAATATATTGCACAGGACCTTGATAGATAAGCTACTACGATATCATTCCAGCAGCCAGCGCAGGATGTCTAGTATCTCCGGCCAGCAGCTGAGCCGTATGGAAGTGGCTAGGTTATGCTATCTGAAAGAGGTACTGACACTCTACTGAATTGTGGATATAGCCCAGGGGGCAATAGAAGAAATCCAGTCAATCAATGCGTCATTGTGAAGATGTCTGCTCATGAAAAACGGCAAAGTATGTGATCCTGGGAGCTATGTAACCCCCCCCCTCCTTCCCCCAGCACCGGAACTTTAAGATATTCCGTCAGTATGTTTTGCGGTCTGCAGCCTTGCTTGCTACGTATACTACAAGAAGTAGTAATCCAAACGCCATTTCAAATTATACTCCCCCCAGCACACATCCGGTTTGTGGCATTGCGATGGCAACACCGGTTATAATACAAAACCTTGGGCGTGATGCGTTAGTCTCGGGAGAGTGAGCCGGTAGCAGGGAGAGAGATAGGCATCGATGCTGGAAGGTGCTCAAAGGTAGACTACCTGGAGGTGAACAAGCGCAGATGCAGTGGGGTGTATTTTATTGCCAAGAAGGCCGTCATGATGATGGTAGATCATGTATGGGCGCGATGGCCTTATGGATGGAAAGCTCTCGGCATCATGGGTTATCACTACATATTGTATTTTTTTTACGAGACAATGCGGATAATGTTCCTTTATTCCTTTCCTTTGTTTTGTGATATCATAGAATATCACGGAAAAGGATATCCTTGTGGAGCAGACAAGGACCAGTTTTGGGACCTAGCATGCCCTTTTAAGTGACAACGGTCTCACAGCCTATCACTCGCCCGAAACAAAACGCCAAGCACAACAGAAATGCGGGGTAAAAGAACAAACTTCCCCGCCTTCTTTCTTTCTCTCACTCACACCCAAACACTCTCTATCGCGCGATGCTCTCTTCTCACAACAAAACTAACTATCGGTAAAGACACAAAACTCCCATACCCCTAGATAAGTCCACCCCCCTCGCTATCAAGCAAACATGCTAACAAAGGAAAGACAAACTTCCGTCGTCCTTCCACAGCCTCCATCAGGCTCCTCTGCTTTCTTTCCGGTCCGTCGCTTTTCCTTCACCACACAGTCCACCCCCTTCGCTATCAAGCAAACACTAACAAAGAAGGACAAACATCACGGTTCACAGGTTTCCCAGGCCTCCAGCCTTTCCTTTTCTTTCTCTGCTCTTTTTCCGGCTTCCTTCCGGCGTGCTTCTCCTCCCGGCCATCCCACGGCCTCATGCTTTCCTTCCGGGCGCCCGCTACCCTTCCGGCGGGTGCACCACTCCGAACGAACGAACTAATGAACGAACAACC